CCCTGTGTCTGAGGGAGGAGGTTGTGGCCTGGATCCCTGTGTCTGAGGGAGGAGGTTATGGCCTGAACTCCTGAGTCTGAGGAGGGAGGTTGTGGCCTGAACTTATGGGTGGGTCTGAGGGAAGAGGGCTGGAAGCAAATCTGAGTCTCTGGTTCCCTCAGCAGGCTTCATGTGGGCGAGGTGGTCAGTCCACAGCTAGCCGGTCTGAATGATGGTCTGGATCCAGGTGGTGAACTTGCAGAGATTGGTGTAGACACTTGGCATGCCAGGCTGCCCACACTCTCCTTGTCCCATAGACACGAGCCCTTGCAGGGATCTGTTGCACACTATGGGACCCCCAGAGTCCCCCTGAGAGAGAGAACCCAGGAAAGCATGAGCTGAAGGTACACACGAGGTCCCAGCATTCACATAAGCATGGCAGACAGAGAGACAGGAGGAAGCCAGCCACATGCCCTTGCCAGAGCCCAGAGGCCACCTGAACAGGAGCCATGTGTCCACACCACCGGCTGCTTCCCTGAGGCTTGTTGAGGCCCTGTCTGTCTGTCTGTCTCCTTCAGGGTTTGCTCATCTGCCTCTATGTCACTGTGTTCTATGGGACACATATATATCTATGTCTTCTTCATTTTTACTTTCTCAGAATGGCCATTTCTGTTTCTAAATATGTTTATTTTTCTTTCTGTTTTGTAGTACTGGAAACAGAATTCAGTTCCTTTACCAAGGTCCCTACCACTGAGCTACACCCCCAGCTCCTCACTGGGGGATTCTAGGCAGGAGCTCTACCACTGAGCCACACCACAGCCCCTCACTGGGGGATTCTAGGCAGAGGCTCTACCACTGAACCACACCCCCAGCCCCTCACTGGGGGATTCTAGGCAGGGGCTCCACCACTGAACCACACCCCAGCCCCTCACTGGGGGATTCTAGGCAGGGTCTCCACCACTGAACCACACCCCCAGCCCCTCACTGGGGGATTCTAGGCAGGGGCTCCACCACTGAGCCACACCCCAGCCCCTCACTGGGGGATCCTAGGCAGGGGCTCTACCACTGAGCCATACCCCAGCCCCTCACTGGGGGATCCTAGGCAGGGGCTCTACCACTGAGCCACACCCCCACCCCTCACTGGAGGATTTAGGCAGATGTTTTGTACTGGTCTATATTCCTAGCTGTCTTTTTGTATTTTATTTTGAGACACAATCTCACTGTCCAGGCTGGATCTTCCTTCTCAGCTTCCTGAGAGGCTAGGCTTATAGGTTTGAATCACCATGCCTGGCTTCTGGGTCTGTGTGTTTCTGCCTCCCTGTTCCTCTCTACTCCCCTCCTGGCCCTTCCTTTTGAGACAGGGTCTCACTGTGTATGTATATCTGGCTAGCCTTGAACTCACAGAAATAACCTGCGTCTGCCTCCCCTGCTGAGTGGGCTGCCACACCTGGCTCCTCCACTTCTCCAGCCCATCTCAGTGTGCCTCAGGTGTACCTTCTGCATCTCCCCGCCCCCACCCTGTTCGGTCCTCCCTCTATCTCACATTGCACGTGTCCTTTCGGTCAGGTCCTCCTCCAGCGCAGAACATGCTTAGGTGATACACAGGGTCATACAGCAGCTGGCAAGTCTCCTCCGACACCACCGAGAGGTTCACACACTGCAGCAGGCTGGGCAGTCTCCCTGGGACACAGAGTGGGGGGTCAGGCCCTTTTGGCGGGTGGGAAACTTAGAGAGGGCAGTCATGTTCCCAGCAGCTCACCGTTCCTTAGTCGACCCCAGCCGGAGACTAGGCAGGTATCCCCAGGGGTGGGGCACTGGGAAGCCACAGGGATGCGTCTGATGGTGCTAGACTCCATCACTGATTCGTTGAGCTTGATGAGCATGAGATCGTTGGCGTAAGGAGGGTCATTGTAGTTCGGGTGCTGGATGGAGAGGTGGGCCTCTAACATCCGGCTGCCAGGCTCTTGGGAGCCTTCCAAGCTGTGCAGGCCCAGTCCCACGGTGTAGGAACTGAGGATCACCCAGCAGGTGAGCTGTGCAGTGGCGCCTGTGTCTCCCATCTCATCCTCCACCCTAAAGCAACGGTGACCTCCCGCTTTGCCTTTCTCTCCCCACTAGACTGTCCTGGTCCAGCTGGTCCAGCTCCCTTCACAGCTGCCAACACTGTGGCCCCTTGAGCACCCTCTGCAGGCCGAGTCTGACATCGAACGCCCTCCCCTCGGCATCCCGCCCCACCACCCCCACTCACTCCTGTAAGCAGTGCGCGGCTGACAGCACCCACCGCGGATGCACCAGGACGCCCGAGCAGAAAAAAACATTGTCTTCTGAGAACAGTGCCGCCTGCCAGGGCTGCGAGTGTGGACGGCAGTCCTGGCCTTGTATGATCCGGCCGCTGGCACTTGAGGCTAAGGATCCTGGGGATGGAGTTAGAATTGGGAGGTATGGGGTGAGGAGCAGGGACTCTCATGGCTTCTAGGATGGGACAGGGTTTAGAGCAGGGTTTGCGGGCACTGGCGGGTTGAGAGTTCAGAGTTATGGTGGTGATGTCTGAGTGAAGGAATGTGATCAGAAGCTGCACTGTGTGTGTGGGGGGTGGGTGGGTGGGTGGGGGACAGCGACTGGGTCTTGACTGGGGACAAACTGAATCCTGGGTTAGAGTTCCTCCTAGTAGGGTCTGAGTGAAGGGGAGTGGTTACAGCCTCAGGGCAAGGCCAGGGCAGGGGATCAGTTCAAGAGAGAGGGTTATGTCTCCCAAGGGTAGGATATCAGAGTAAGGACTTGGTTAAGAGTTTTATGATGGAATCGGGGTTTTAGGGTCTGGGCCATTGCTGGGGACAGGTTCAGGATGCAGCCTCAGGGTTTCTGGGGGTAAGATTTAGTGCAGGGAGGCTTGGTCAGGGCTTCAGGGGTGGAGCCAGGGCTGGGGGCAGAATGAGGAAGCTGGACCAGGTGGGGTTTGAGTGCACACACATGTGGTTGGGGCTTCCCAGGTCCTGGGAGAGTCGTGGGAAAGGGAAGGAAAGCGCTTTGAAGGTGGGTGGTCAGGTCAGAGTCTGGACTGGGGCAGGCAGGGCTCACTGGGACAGGGTGTCAATAAGGGATCAAGGTCTTTGCCTCCTGAGAGCAGTTAGGGTTCACCACATAAACTGGGCAGTTCTGGGGACAGAATCAGGAGGCGAATCCAGGACTCAGCGAATCCAGGACTCAGGGAACAAGGTCTTACTTCAGGGATGTAGGCATGGCTGGAGACAGGCTGAAGAGGCTGGACCAGGGTTCTTAAGGGCAGAGTCTGAGAACAGGAGTGTGGCTGAAGCTTTAGGGTTCATAAGGGTCAGGGTCAGAGGGAGGAGAATTACCAAGAGGAGTCATTGGTGTTTTGGGAGTCAAAAGGAACTAGTCCCCAGTCACCAAGCAAGTGGTGCCTGGAGTGAATCAGGTCTCAGAGGGGTGGGGTCAGGGCTCCGAGGGGTGGGGTTAAGGCCCAGAGGGGTGGGGTTAGGGCCCAGAGGGGTGGGGTTAGGGCTCAGAGGGGTGGGGTCAAGGCTCAGAGGGATGGGGTCAGGTCCCTTGAGAGAAGTTAAGGTCCAGGGGCCTCCTTAGGGCTGGGAGTCAGGATCAGCACACTGAATGCAGGGTCATCTGTCAGGAGGGTGGGTCAGCTTGCAGTCTCAGGCTAGTCTTCAGGACCCAGGAACCATTTATGTTTCATACACAGAGCCATGCCAGGAATCTTTCAGAACACACGGCCCCTTCACCCAGCTGGCCCAGACGAGACGAGACACTCAGCCAGCTACTCCAGGAGCTGTTCAACTTTGTGGCATAGCTGTGCCTCCACCCAGCCTCACCACAGTCACACCCAGCCACAGCCCATTCACCCAGACATCATTATCCCAGAGGGGCTCGGAGCTCAGTTGGTCGAGTGCTAACTAAGCATGAGCAGAGCCTTGGGTCTGAATTCCAGCACCAAGTAACCTGGGCATGGTGGTGCACACCTGTAATCCCAGCGCTTGGGAGGTGGAGGCAGAAGAATCAACAGTCCAAGTTCTTAGCTTTAGTGAATTGAAGGCCAGCTTGGACTATGTAAGACTCTTTAAAAATAAATAAATGGGTCAGGTATCAACCCCAGCACTCAGGAGACAGAGATAGGCTCACTTCTGTAAGTATGAGGCCAGCCTGGTGTACATAGTGAGTTTAAAAGAAAGGAAGAGAGAAAGAGAGAAAGAGAGAAAGAAAGAAAGGAAGGAAGGAAGGAAGGAAGGAAGGAAGGAAGGAAGGAAGGAAGGAAGGAAGGAAGAAGATAGATCATCTAGTTACCCAGGAACTAGGCACAGACCCCTTTTCCCCTTAGTGGCACAAACGATCACTGAATTCCATGACCCACCACCTTTTGCAGGCATGACCTTACACCCATCCCCTAGTCACATCATACTGCGTATGATGTCAGAAGCAGTAAGACACTGAGTGATGCCTGAATGTTCCCTCAGGCACACGTCATGACACACACACTCAGATACCTGTGACCCCGAGGAAGAGATGCCCTAGGAACCAGCCCCAGGGGGTTCTCGCAGTGACCATCATGTTGGCTCCTGGAAATGAAGACCAGTGAGTCTGGGGGTGGCAGTCCTAGTCTCTCCATCCCCCCCTGTCCCCCCCCTCTCTCTCGTTTCTTGTTTGTGGGATATAATGGGCAGAAGGAGATGGGGTGGGGGGAGAAAAAAGGAGGAGGAAGAGGAGGAAGCATTTAATATCTAGGAACAGGGAGCGGGGGAAATGGAGAGACAGAGGCATAGATTTTCACTTAGGACACAAGAAAGACCCAGACAGGGCATTCAAGAGGATTCTGGTCAGAGGCAGCCTGAGAGGCAGAGACCAGAGCCAAAGATTTAGAGTGGACTGGAGAGAAGCTTCTAAGCAGAGAGAGAGGGAGAGGGAAAGAGAGAGATCCTCACCTGCTGCTTCTGGGCTCCTGATCCTGTGGAACCTGCGATTCTGCGGCTGGGCTGAGCAGAGCTGCTACCCACAGGGGCTCCCACAGGGCTTTATAAGCTTCCTCAGCTGGGGCTGGCCCTGCCCCCCAGGGGACACATTCCGCACGTCAGGTGCTGCAAACTCCAGCTCAAAGCCCTCAGGCTGCCTGATGGAGTCTAGGACACAGGAAGGGAAGAGTGCCCAGATCCCAGCCTCTCCTGCCTCTTTTTCTCTCCCCTTCCAACCTCCCTTATGCATTTTCATTCATCCTTCCATCTCTCACGCTCCTCTTATTCACCAAATAAAATTTCCCCTACATCACTCCCATATTCTCTCTCTTTATGAGTTTCTTCCTGTGTGTCTTCCAAAAACTGCCCGGCATCAAATCCAGCCTGCATCTCGTACTTCCTTGGGAACCTTATTCGTGACCAGCCGCCTGATCCTCCGTTTTCCCAGGTAGGATCAGGGTAACCATCACCCCATGACTAGCCTGAATTCAGATAACCCTGCAAGCAGATCCTCACTCTGCAGGTGTGCCAGCGCAGAGGCTCCTGGGAACCAGCGTGTCAAGAGCATTCTAGCAGCTGTGCTTGGAGCCAGGGCCGGGAAAATGAAGATGTCTCCTGGGACTCATGTTCCAATGAGGGTGGGGAGACAGACAACAAAGAAAACCTTGAGGGATCAGGAAATAAGTGGTGGTTGGCAGTGTCTGAGAAGGGGATATTTAAGCCGGGAGCCAGACAGCTATGAGGAAGAGTGGGGACTGGACAGGTGAGGGTCGCAGCAGAAGACATCTTGGTGTATGTTGGTGGATATTTCCATGGGAAACAGGACAGACAAGGAAGCCTGCAGAAATGGTTTAAACATCAAGGTTAAGGGCTTAGGTTGTATGTTAGGCCCAGTGGTAGAGGAAGTGACGTGAGTTGTCTACTTTGTAAATCACTCTTGGTGAGGAGGGACAGAGGCAGGGGGTGGAAGGGAGGACCACACTGAGGAGGAAATGCTGAGATTGAGGTGTGAAATGCCATCCCCTAGACGGGAGTTGCCATGGTCCTGATTAAAGACGCTGTGATCCTGGAGGGAGATTCTGAGGTCCAGTGAGAGATGCGGGGGTTCAGGTGGTAGTGCTCTGTGCATCAGGTCTCACAGGCTCATACTGTGAAGGATGAGGCCCCTACTGAGCACAGGGGGCAGCTAAAGAGAGAGGAAAGAGGCGCATGGTGTTTTCTTTGTCTCTTTTCTCACTGGGTCAGGTGGAGGTGACCTAGGATTATTTGGGAACAGACTCAGGCAGTGGGGGTGTTTCTGGTCTCACTGTTGGAGTTATTTGCACTAAGATGGAAATCCACTCCAATGGGCAGAATACAGTCTGAGGTGTGGGGTGCAGAAGGGCAGAGACAAGGAGGGACAGATGTGAGTCAAGAGGACCGGGAAAGTGACACCAAGCCAGAAGGAGGTGAAGGCTCAGAGAGACGGAAACTTGGAGACCTGAAAATGGGAAGAGCAGAAACACATACCCAGAGGGACACACAACTGAGCCACACGCTAGCCCCACGGGGGTCTCCAGGTAGGAGCTGCACCACTAAGCCGTACCCACAGTCCTCACTGAGGAATTCCAGACAGGGGCTCGACCTCTGAGCCAGGCCATGTCTCAGCCCTTTTGTTGTTGTTGGTTTTATTTTTTTAAGATATTATGTATACAGTGTTCTGCCTGTGTGCCAGAAGAGGGCACCAGATCTCATTACAGATGGTTGTGAGCCACCATGTGGGCTCTGGGAACTGAACTCAGGACCTCTGGAAGAGCAGTCAGTGCTCTTAACCGCTGAGCCGTCTCTTCAGCCCTTGTTGACTTTCTATAGCATCCTGCACATCTCTCAGAGCCCAGTGGAACAACTTGTGCACAGTTTTGTTTGTCTGTTAGTTCTCCTAACATTGGGAGTCCTTTGAGAACAGACCCCTGTGTCTTGGTTTTGGAGGCTAGACGGATGGATGCAGGCCCACAGATAGGAACCAGAGAGCACAGAGGCAGACAGAAAGAGGGCGGCAGAGGGCAGGGAAAACAGCAACACACAGTAGTATAGTAGTTAGTTAACTTCTGGGGAGCACTCCCTCTGGCCCCACCTTCAGGGTTTGCACACGGGAGGACTGGAAGATTCCTCACCCGGGGTGCTTGGGTCAGAAGAAATGGGGATTATGGAGTATTCTCTCTCTCTCTCTCTCTCTCTCTCTCTCTCTCTCTCTCTCTCTCTCTCTCTCTCTCTGTGCATGTGTGTTGTGTACATGTGTGCTACGTGTGTGCAGGTGCACATGTGTGTAGGGAAGCACGTGTGAGACCAGAGGTCAGCCTTAGCCATCATTCCTTGGATGTTGCCCTGCCCCCCCTTTTTTCTCAGGCAGGGTCTCTCCATGGCCTGTAACTGATTCAGTGAGGCTGAATCCCTGCTTCCCCAGGGCTGAGGTTATAAGCACCACCACACCTGGCTTTTTTTTTTTTAATTTTAATTTTTTCATCTGTTTTCTGAGGATGGAACTCAAGTTCTCCTGCTTGCAAGGCAAGCATTTTACCCACTGAGACATCTCCTCCACCCTGTTCTCAAGTATTTTCAAACATGTGAGAAATCAGTGGGACTGGAGAGATGGCTCAGCAGTTACAACCACATCTAGTTTGGTTCCCAGCGCTCATGTTAGGAGACTCACAGATGCCTCTAACTCCGGTTCCAGGGGGCCTGATGCCCTCTTCTGGCTTTCTTGGGCACTGCACTACATCTCCACACACAGCCGTAGACACACTTAACTAAAACTAAAAAATTTAAAAAATGATCACATTCATGTGTTTATGTTAATTATTATTTATGTTGTTTATATCATGCATGCCAGTGCACACTTATCAAAGTCAGAGGATAACTTGCAGAACTGGATCTCTCCTTCTACCACGTGGGTCAAGGGGATGGAATTCAGATCTGGGATGAGCACCTCGACCTGCTGAGTCATCCTGGGCCCCCTCTTAAACTTTTTCTGAACCAGAATCACTCTACAGCTCAGGCTGACCTTGAATCCCAGAGAATCCTCGTGCCCTGGCTTCTTAAGTGCTGGGGTGACAGGCGTGGAGCACCGCACACAGCGGGTAGCACGCTCTTCCTAACACCACCGTGGCATAGAATTCACCAACTGAAGGTGTCATTCGGTGTTCTAAAACTTCAGATTTTGAAGTATTTTGAATTTTCTGACTTGGAGACACCAAACCTCTGACTCATTTCTCTTCTGATGACTTTGTGGATTAGAGAGACCTGTGCACTTCTTTTACAGATAAGGAAACTGAGGCACAGAGAGGCAAGTAAACACTGAAAGTCAGAGAAAGGCTGAGGCTGGAGGGATTTAGATGGTTGAACAGAACAAGACAATGAGCTGGACAGATCTTGCACAGGGAGAAGGTGGCCAAAAAGTCAGACGCTGAGAAACTTGGGAGTTAGGGGTATCATCATCATCATCATTATCATCATCATCATCATCATCATTATTCAAAAACAGAATGGAAGACTAATGTTTCTATATCACCTACTCCTTTGTATGTATTGTTGGAGTTGCTTTATAAACATAACCCCTTGAGACCCAGTATAATGCCCCACCATGTAAAAGAGGAGACAGACACAGAGAGGTCAAACAAGCTGCCCAAGGCCACGCAGCAAAGTGGCAGTGAACTTGAGACTTAGTAGCTTAAGCATGAAGTGTGCATTGATCACATAGTTCCGTTGTCTCTCAGAAAACTGCAGCTGCAGAGTTGGACAGGTGGCGTGCTCCTGCAGGGACACAGGATATGGGGGCTTGGGACACACCCAGGCAGGACATCCCTCACCTGAGCCGTCTGCCCTTATCTCTACATACAAGTGAGGTGCAGCCTGGCGGGGGAAGGCTGGAGGCACCGGGGCCTGGGGCAGGGTGCCAGGCAGAGCCCACTCCTGCAGAACTGGAGAAACAGGTCCTGCTGCAGCAGGCAGGTGAGCCAGGCTCCTACCCTACCGAGGAGACTCCTCCACTTTAGAATCCCAGACTTTCCTGGCTGGGGTCCAGCTGGGGGCCCAGGCAGCATCAAGTGACTTGTTCAATTTTCCCTGCTAAACCTTCCAAACAGCTGTGAGTTGAAGTTGAACTTACTTCAAGGGCAAGGACATGTGGCCATCCCGCTTTACTCAGTGCCATGAGGCTGTCTTGGGGCCTGTCCTGTCACCTTCCACAAAGAGCAGCATTTCTGTCCTAAGTATGGACACAGAACGGGGGAGCCAGTGGGGAAATCCATGTGCTTCCAAGGAGAAGCCAGGACCAAGCTGGAGCAATCTTCAGGATCCCCTCAAGAAGTGAAGATGGGGAGACTTTGGAGGAGAGAGAGTTGCAGCTCTCAGCAGCCCTGGGGAAGTTCTGACCTGGAGCTGGGCACGGAGAACATAGCTGGACCCCAACAGTGGGAAGGACAGCTGGGGGCGAGTGAATGGGGTGAGAAAAGAGGGGCATTTGTAAACACCCCACAGTCAGCTCAGAGGTGGCTGCTGCTGTGGGCTGGGATGCAACTCAATGATGCAAGGGGACCTGGGTTCTGTCCCTAGTCGCACCCCAGA